TATTATTTTATATATAAATATAGTAATTTATAAATACATCTGTATGCATATTTACTCCCAAAATTTCAATATAGTAATTGTCAAATATACTAATGTATCAAAATAATAACATCATGGAATTCGAACTCTAAGAACTTTGAAAATTCTCCTATTGATTACTTAATAATAAGAAATAAGCTTATTTCAGTTATTTTCCTTCTTTATTGACCATCTCCATTGTTTTCTTATTAAAGGCTACCATATTAATAGCATTTGTCAATATGTCTCAGCAACAGGGGCATAATTTTGGCCTAATTCCATGCATTTCTGGCCTTCATTACCTTGAGGTCAATATATTATGCGGTGGTCAAGGACATAGGGGCTCGAGTCAGATTGTGTCTTTTCAAATCCATGTTCTACTATTCATTTGGTGTGTTTGGTGAGCAGATTACTTATTCTAGTATCTATTTCATCATCTGTAAAACACAGACAATACTCACACCTACCTTATAAGATTGGTTTTAAGGTTAAATAAAAATTATTCATGAGAAATACCAAGCACAATTTTATAACAATAAGTGTTTGATAAATGACTGTATTTGTATTATTATTATTTACTTAATATTATTAATTGTTATACCTATCTGTTAAACCTCTGATAATTTTCTAGAGGAGGAGGAGAAAAAACTGAGTCAAGTAACTTAGAACATTTTGAAAATTTCTAGAAGAAATTGTCTTTTGGATATGAATTACCTTCTGAAAAAAACTCTGGTGTCTGTACATGCTTGGAAGAAGGTACGCATAAAGGCGAAGAACATCAGATTCTTGCCCTGAGGAAAGTACAACATTGACCTTCCTTGCCCAAGAATGAATGATTAAAAAGTTGAAAAGGTGTGTTTGTAGATCGTTCAGGCCTTCATCTGCAACTATCAGGAAATATGGGTAACTCTCCTCCAAGAAACTTCCCCACTCTTCTGATAAGCATCTCGAAAATGTTGTTCGAACATCAATGGTGGTATTCTTCTGAAGATGAAGAATTAAAGCAGTTCTCAAAGAAAGAAGTTCAGGGAAGTTGAAATAGGCATACTCAGCATCCTGTGGAGGAGGAGGTGAAGTACATTTTATTTCAAAATTATCATTTAATCATTTAGTTGGCTAATACATCACTAAAGGCATGGAAGGAATAAAATCCAACAGTTTTGTTCTGTCTGATGGTTGTGGAATAGACCCTTAAACTCTGACTACCATCTTACAGATATTTACCGAAAAAAATCGCAGCTTGGATTTAAATGCATGTGTCTCCTTTAAGCAGACACTTAATACTCGGAGCTTATCACGCTTACCCTTCCCGCTTTCTAATTCTTTTCCTCTCTAATTTCATTTAGAAAGAAAAAGAATAGAAAGCAAGTGGTAGATATAAATCATCTGTATCAGGAAGCTGAGGTGAACCACTGTGTTCTAGAGGATTGCTCCAGATTACTGCAACCCTCCTTAAGCAACAGAGATTGTCTCGGCATAACAAAATTAGGGCAGCCAACTAGATTGTAAACATTAGATTAGAAAACTAGCTCTTTATTCAAAACATGGCTGGCGAGCATTGAGCCATGTTCAGAAATGTAACAATTGAGACTGCAAAATGACTGAAAAGACCCATACCAAAGCTCTTTACCTTTAGATATAGGATTAGGAAGGGTGGTAGTGGTTATACATATCTTTATTTGAAATTGTTAAAAACTATATTAATTATATTCATAATAAAAGAGCAAACCAAAAATAGTCTTATTTTGGAAATACCTAAAGCAAACCATAATAAAACATTGATTATTATTGTTAGAGACTGGGTCTCATTCTGTCACCCAGGCTGGAGTGCAGTGGTGTGATCATGGCTCACTGTAGTGTCGAACTTCTGGGCTCAAGTAATCCTCCCACCTCAGCCTCCCAAAGTGCTGGGATCACAGGCATGCACCACTGTGCCTGGCCAACAAAGCATTATTAATGACTGTCCCTAGACTCAGATATATTTTCCTCTGGGCTCCTGTAAATTGCCTGCTGAGTTTTGAAAACAGAAGTTGTTCTCAGAGCAGGAGAACTAGAATCCAGAGTTCAACTGGGCCGCTATCGAGGAGCTTTCTCATCCTCTCTCATGATCCCATGTGTCCTTACAATAAAGTTCTCTTCATTCAAATAAAATGTAATCTCAAATGTGGTGACTTCTGAATGCTGAGATTGTGGGTCATGTTTTCTCTTCTTTTCTTTCAATTTTCTGAACTTCTACAGATATAATTTACTTTGCAATAAGAAAAAATATATAAAATAATTTAGGAAATTTTAGTTTTAATTCTCATATTATAAAAAAGAACTCAACTGTCATGTTACCTCAAAGAAAACTATGGTGAATTGTCCTCCTTTGCTAATAAGATCCACAAGATAGCGTTCAACCAGATAGAAGAAATGGAGGTTCTGCCCAGGCTTAAATGATATCTCACAGATACATGTGATAAGTAATGAATCCCCATCAATCAAAAAAAATTCAGATTCAACAAAATCGTTGAATAAACTGGAATATCTAAAATGAAAAACAGTTAAAACAAAAATCACAGACACATTAAATCATGTTCCAAAAAGGCAGCGTTCTTATTAGCTCATTAGCATTATCATCAACAGCTAAATTTGCTGAATTGTCTCATGGCAGTGTCTACACTAAGGCTTTTCAAATACATCTACATTCACAACTATCCTTCACAGGAAGAAAGCAGGATTATCCACATCTTAGGCTCAGAGAGAGCAAATTATCCAAAGCCATATGGCACAGCCTGATTGGACCATGAATCTAGTACTTGTACCCTGCATATAAACCTAAATTATATATATTTTCTGCTTAATCCAACTCAGCCCCTTACAAGTGGATTCACTGATGGCTATTGACAAATGAAGCAAGAGGAAACTGTTTCCATTCACTATCATACAGCTCTCAAAGTGCTGTGTTGAACAATCATATATACATATATAGAGTAGTGTACATAGTTCTATATACTGTTATATATAATACTCTATACTATATATAGATATATATTATATATAGATATATAATACATAGATACACACTGATATAAATACTGATATATATATATAATACATAGATACACACTGATATAAATACTGATATATATATACACACTGATACATATATACTACATATTAAATATATTAGAAAAATTTGTGAAAATTTGTTACTATTTGAAAAAACTCTCAAACCATGTAGCCTACAAATACAAAAAAAAATTTAAGTTAGCTATGTCACGAATGCATAAAGTATATGTAGTCTATTTTAGCATTTACTGACATAAAATATACACAGATCTATTGTAAAAGTTAAAAATTATCTAAATTTATGCACACACTTATAGACTATACATGGCAACTGTCAGAGCTGAGAGAAATGTAAATAAATGTTAAGCTGCACTATTAAATCATAACTGCATAAAATTAACTCTAGTATATACTGTACTACTGTAATAACTTTGTAGCCACTTCTTGTTGTATTGTGGTGAGTCAGCAGTTCTTCTTCAGTACACTTCTCTCCAAACACAGTAAAAAGTGATCTCTCAAGGTTCTTGTGTATTTTTCATCATGTTTATGGCAATATCATAAAACCATGGAACTCATATGAAGTGCCACTAGTGATGCCAGAAGTGTTCCCAAAAAGCAGAGCAAGTTATGACATTACAAGAAAAAGCTGAATTGCCTGATGTGTGTCATAGATTGATGCTTGCAGTTATAGTTGACCACCACTTCCAGATAAATAAACCTAATGTAAGGACCATTGTAAAAAAAATTTTTTTAAGAAATTAGTGAAGGCATTGTTGCAGCAGTCATAAAAATCTTGCATTTTTTTGAAAGACCTTTTTATCTCACATCGAAAATAGAGCTTTTATGTGGGTGTGGGATTGCCTAAAAAGGCATATTTATAGACTCTAATATGATTCAAGAAAAAGCAAAGTAACTATAGGACAAAGCAAAAGGAAGACGAAATATCTAAAGCTGGAAAATCTAATAGCAGCACAGTATGGTTTGATAATTTTAGAAAGAAGTGTAGCTTGAAAAATGTCAAGATAACAAGAGAAGCAGTTTTAGCCAACTAAGAGACAGAAGGAAATCACTGAGGGGAAAGGATATTTGCTTGAATAGGTTTTTTTAATGCAAATGAAATTATTCTGGAACAAAAAAAATCAAAGTCACAAAGAATATTTATTAGTACAAACGAAAAGCGAGCACCAGGATTGAGGGCAGGAAGGAATAAGCTAACTCTACTGTATTGTGCAAAGGCAGTTGGTTTTATCTTCAGGCCTGTCTTTATCTGTAAAGCTGCCAACTCCTGAGACTTGAAGGGAAAAGATAAACACCAGCTGCCAGTCTTTCAGTTATACAACAAAAAGTCCTGGACAACGGGACACGTTTTCCAAATTAGTTAAATTGATACTTTGTCCCTGAAATCAGGAAGTACCTTGCCAGCGAGGGACTGCTATTCAAAGTTCTTTTGATATTGGACAATGTCCTTGGCCACCTAGAACTCCAGGAGTTCAACACCAAAGATGCTGAAGTGGTCTACTCGCTCCCAAACAAAATGTCTTTAATTCAGCCTTCAGATCAGAGTGTCATAAGAACCTTCAAGGCTCATTACACACAGTAATCTATGGAAAGAATTGTCAATGCTATGAAAGAGAAGTCTGACAGACAGAATGTTGTGAACGTCTGGGGGGATGGCACCATTGAAGATGTCACTATTGTTACGATCCACTCCCACTTAAAAAATACATTTTTGCCTCCTTATGATTTTCTTAACTTTCTATACTAACACCAGAGAAATAAGAGGGCAGAAGGAGCCTTTGAAGGCATGTTTTAGAATTTTCTCTTCATCCTAGAATCAAATATTAGCCATTGATGAATTTTAAGCAGGTGGCATTTTGATGGGCTTTGCATTTTGAAAAGCCTAGTCCAGCTACAAGATAGACAATAGATAGGGTGGGTGCAAACTTCTTGGTAGAGCAGAGAGAAAGCTATTACAGTTAAGTTTTGGAGGAGTAAAAAGTCAAACACAATCCTTTTGCAGTTCATAAATGTGATGATTGGGTTTTCATGTGTATGTGTTGGATGTGCCCTACTCAACCCTTGTTACAAAGTTATCTCATTATCTGTCTGGCATGAATTTAG